TGTAGTAGATTAACTTAGCTGACCAAGGCCTGACCAAACTAGTCTGGTTCGCTCTGAACAGTCGACCTTGATCCAACTAACTCTCTCTCCCAAATATATTTCTCTCTCTATCTCTCATTCTCTCATATATAGTCTCATATAAATACAGAGAAGGGTATATTGATTTGTCCCCTCTCATAGAACTGTCAGTCACCAGCATAAATACATCAAATACAAAATTCAAGTTCAGTACAAAAAGTGAAAGGGAACTCCAAGTCTCCAACAACAAATATTGTTTTTTTTTCCTTAATTTCCATAATCTGTTATAATTTGCATATCAATTTGCAGCCATTACAGGTTTTCAGGTTTCCCACTAGATAAGTATATACATATGGTGCAGCTCAATTATATTAATTTCACCAATGAAATACAGGCAAGCAACTGAAAAGGTACAGAAGTAGTGAAGGTTGCAACCAATTGGTTAGAGAGGCTTCACTCCACTCCAACAATTTGCTTCTCCCTTACCATGCTACATATCTTGGTCAGAAGAAGCTATAGCCAGAAGCATATGAGTGGTGAGCTACACCGGCCACTCCCAAAATCAGTAATCTTTTTAATCTCTTTCCTGAGCAACACTGGTGCAACAGCCATCCCTACCATATTTCCATATAATCACATGCATGGAGACTAGAGGTAGATAGAGCCACACACAAGGCTCCAATTACAATCATCATTACTTTGTTAATTGTTATTATTCATCAAGATTCTTTTTGGACAGGATGAAAACATAGCCAAGATTCATGAAGCCAGCCTTGCCAGCACATGATGCATGAAAGCAACAAGAAACTATGTTGGTTCTGTCATGAATGAATTCCACTTTTGCTTATCATTTTTGCAACATGTGCAGTGGCAAGTATTGCCTCCATTGGTGATGCAGTGGAGTCAGGTGCTATTAGGGGTTGGCAACCTTAACTGGTGCCCAAACTTAGGATTCTTCCCATGTCGTCAGAGATCATTAAACCACTCTACCTGCCATGGATCATATCTGTTCTTCTGTGAAAAAGCAAATGCATGTGCAAAGAGTATATGAATATGTCTATGTTGATCTCCTGTGTCTGAACTCTGAAGGCAATAGTTAACAGATCTGATCAATCACACCCTGTTAATTCTGCAGACAGTAGATGCTGGTAATTGGTAACTTGTAGAATGTAGAATGTTGTTGCTTAGAGCTTAGGAGTATTTCAGGTTTGGAACTCCAGATTGGCATTGACTTCAAAGTTCAGGCTTCCAGCTACTACAGCATTGGCCTGCAATCAGCAGGGATATATACACCAATCACGGTAAGCTGTCTTCTGAATTCTGAACTAGCAGGCTTCCAAAACTGGGAAATAAATCAATGTGGGGGAGAGAGAGAGAGAGAGAGAGAGAGAGAGAGAGGCTCTCAACTTCTTGTGTCAGTGTGTTCAGTTGCAAGAAGCAATTGATCCATGAACCGATGCTGGAGGACAACAGTTAGCGGGTGCAATGATATTCAGTTAGTGATACTGTTTGTGCAAGACTGCAGAGAAAGAGATTTCAGTAAAAAAATATATTAGTCTGGGAGAAGAACCTGTTAACATTACCAATGCCGGTAAGAAAAATAGTTTGACAGTTACGCATTCCTACTTTCAGAAAAAAAAAACAGAGAGATAGTTATGCATTGCCTCCTAAACTGCATAACTGCAAGTAAACTGCAGTATATTCAGAACTGCAGAACCTGACCTAGGAAATTGTTTTCATCACATTCAGAGTTTCAGAATCCCCATAACGAAATATCTAAGGAAGTTTCTTAAGTGCACCCATATCTAAGGAAATTTCAGACTCCATCAGATGAATTTCAGGTTCCCCATTAGACAATATATGGATACACTTGAAATCTTACGAGACACATCGTTTTTCTTATAGCTAAGTTTCCATAACATTGCAGAAATTCAGAATCTACAAATAACGTATGCAATTAACCTTACTACGTTTCCTTTTATTGCCATTGATGTATAATAACTTTGGGTTTTATGGAGAATCCACTAGGGATTGACTGTTATTCAGCAATCTGAATCTGATAATTTTCGTCAAACAAATATTCGTAAAAGCATGTAGGCCCAACTGCCCAACTAATTCAGGATCCTAGCTTGTTTGTCTGTTCTGCTCAACTGAATCTTATTAACCAAATTGATGGTGTTCACTAGCAGTTGCAGTCTTCATCTGCTGTAGTACTTGAAAGACACTTGAGACCAAAACAAAAAAAGAAGTTTCAATTAAGTCATATTTAACTTAATGAATGTTCTCATTGAAAAGACCCCACTGTGGAATTTAATCATCCCCAAAATTGTGTTCCCCAACAAATCATCCAGAAAGAGACATGTTTGCTAGATTTAAGGATAGGTTTCATTGAATTATCGAAACATTCGTAGACTTTTTTTTTCGTCAAGTTCAATGTTCATGGTAACAGTAGACTACTCAGGGTGTGTTTAGTTCACGCTAAAATTGGAAGTTTGATTGAAATTGGAACGATGTGACGGAAAAGTTGAAAGTTTGTGTGTGTAGGAAAGTTTTGATGTGATGGAAAAGTTGAAAGTTTGAAGAAAAAGTTGGGAACTAAACTAGGCCTCAAACACAGGTTCAAACAAGCTCACAGTCAGGGCATAGTCTGTCTGGTCAATTACCTAATTTAGTGTAAACACCCAAGTAAAGATTCATGAACAATGCAGTGCCATATCAGAATTCTGACCACCATTTGTCTGATCTGTAGGTCCAGGCAAGCACCAAGCAGTTAACTGTTTACCTCTGAATTATTTGATTCAGGACTTACCAATTGATCTTTTAGACCATTGGGGCTTTAGGATGCTTATTGTGGACAGAGTATGTAGTTCATAGGAAATATATCAAGTTTACTGGTATAGTAGTCATATCAAATAATCATATTAAACTCTATGGTAATATCAAATAAGTAATATGTTTTTCTTATAGCTAAGTATTCCAAAACACTCCTGTAAAGTTTTAGTCCCTGATATCCAGCTTTGTACAGTTATTGATCCTTAATTAAAAAAGAAAAGTAGGCAATGACTGTGTGACTGGAAATGGCTAACTGTTGCAGGATGAGCACGGCAGAAATTAAGAATCCACAAAACTTTATTATGTTTCCTACTGTTGTCATTGTTGTATACTCCGCACCCCAATTCGTAGCTAGAAATAGATATTTTGGGACTAAGGGAGTAACTTGTGATAATCTATACTTCTTATAAAAAGGAGTAGTAGTGGTGGACTGGTACTTCAGCCACCACCCCCACTGCCTACCAACTCCCAACTTTTTTTAAAAAAAAAAAAGAAATGCGCGCGGGGTTAAAGGGCTCAGATATCAGCTATTTCCACCAACTCTCTATATTTTATGGAAAAGAAAAACCAGTGTGAAGCTAAAAAAGTCCACATGTGAGTAACAAATATATATACACCAATTAATAGATGGTAATAACATGTTAATGATAATTTTCTTTAATTAAAATTCCGTTATAATTCTCAGGCAATATGTTAGTAAGGAAAAATCCATTAGAATGTTTGATTGGCTGGTTGTTCTGCAATCTGAATATGATAATTTTGCCAAACAAATATTGCTAAAAGCGTGTAGATCCCACTAGTTAGGAATCCTTATTTATTTGTTCTGCTCAGCTGAATCTAGTTAACCGTTTTAGACTATTAGATGGTGTTCACTCACAGTTATAGTCTGCAATTGCTGTAGTACTTGGAAGACAGACACTTGAGTCAAATGTTCCGTAAAGTCATTTTTCCCTCCACTAAGAGTATTGGATTTTTCATGCTGAAAATGTCCCACTGTGGAATTCATCATCGCTAAAATTTGTGGTACACAACAAATCATTTAGAAAGAGACATGCTCCATATATTCCTGGATAGGTTTCATTAAATTATTGAAACATGGACGGACAGATCTGTCATTCTGTTATGTTAATCTGTAGAACAACTTATCAGCAACCAAAAAATAATTCCTAGATAAAACTTTTATATATATGTTCTTAGTGATTTAAAAGCTAATTCAGGAAAAGAAAGTAAGAAACTACGATGAAAAAAACCCCAAAATCAACTCCAAAATTAACTTTTAAATTCAAAATTTGACAACAGCAAACGATGGGAGGCTTCAGCATAAACAGTCGGAGACTTCCACTCAAACACAGGTTCAAACAAGCTCAGGGTATAAACTGTCAGGTCAATTGCCTAACTTGTGAACAGCCAAGGAAAGCTATTGCATAGTAGGTCCCAGGCATCCTGCTAAGCAGTTCACTTGGATTCAGGACTTACCAACTGATAGTTTAGACCCTTAGGCATTTAGAATGCTTGTTATGGACGCAGTAAATACGTCATGAAAAATGTACCCGGTTCACAAGCCACAGCAGTAACTCTTTACTCACTTGGATTATCCTAATAATGTTTCAATTAACATACTAGTTAACAGTTCCATTCTAAATCAGTCAACTAAACTAATGTCTCTAAAGCGCACAAACATATTAATGAAATGATTGATAAGATCAAATAGTGAGTCAGACACCAATGTAAATAGTCAATGAGCACATTCCCATCTTCATAGTCAAGCATTTCGCAGAACCTGCATGAAGAAGAACAGTTTACAGAGAGGCCATGAGGCAATATATATAACAATAAAATGGTCATAGTTTGACGGTTGCTCACACTAGCAATGGAGTCAAACTAGAAAATGACAGAATGGACCTGAATAATTGAATATCTATCGTGTAAACAATTCGGCCATGTTCTGAATGAAGTGGAACCGGTCAATGATAATTAGGCGAGACAGTGGCAATAGTAAATAATTTGTGTCTTTGTTTTTCAGACCTCAAGACAAAAGAGGCACCAAGGAAACTTCCTGGTAATTAAAGAGGAGATACTGAAGTAGACAGCTTGTCATCAATACACGAAATCGGTTAGGGATCTTCGCTAAGAAAAGAAAAAAATGAAGCATTCTTGGACTAACTGAAACATCTCCCTTTCTATTATACTGTTGGTATTCAATATTTCCTTGCTTCCCTAATATCAAAGATTGGGGCTCATCCCTTCCATCACTTTGTAGTTATCAGCATCTAGCAGACTTTGGCTATGTACTAAACTCATTTTTTTTGTGTAGTTTCCTCTATAATTGCAAGGAACAAACATGGTGGATCTACTAGAGGTATTATGTTCAGTGGTCATAGTAGAGACTATCCAACAAATAGTATCTTTTATTCAGAATCACAGGAGCAGAAGCATGTCAAGGAGGAGACTCATCGTCTGCGGCAGCTTCTCGTCGAAATTCACACCGCTCTGGAGGCAGCCAAGGGGTGTGCCATCACCAATTCATGGCTACTACGCTGGCTACGCGAGCTTGAGGACGCCGCATGTCGAGGCGATCAGACACTGCGCAACTGGAGAGATATGTCCAGCAAGGTGAGCTCCATCATCGATTCTAGTAACTCCTTCAAACGCATCAAGATCGCAGCATCGCAGCTGATTCCATCCAAGGAATCCACCATGAAAGTTTCTGCCACTGTCAAGAAGCTAGAAGCAGTAGCTTCTGGGATCCCCAAGTTCACTCAGCTTCTCAGCTTGCAGAATGACCAAGCAGTGTTACATCATCGACCGGTTATCATCTTTGTTTCGATCCATGACAGGGTAGTTGGCAGAGTCGATGAGAGGAAACAGGCCATCGAATTCTTGCTTCACATAGACAAGAATGGATCATCCTCTCCAGATGGTTGTGTGCTTCCCATTTGGGGTGTCAAAGGAGTAGGTAAAACCACGATTGCGCGGCTCGTATGCGACGATCGCAAGGTGAGGAGCCATTTCTCAATGATTATATGGGTGAATTGCAGAGAATATACTAGTCCAGCCATGGCCTTGGTAAAGTCATTGTGCAAGAAGCTTGGTTTGAGTTCTAACGTAACCATTAATCTTTCAAGTGTGATCAGAAAGGCTAAGAATGGAGAGATTTCTACTTGTTCTTGATGGTGCTTCTAGCTACCCCAGGGGAATGAATGACATACTCGATACACTGTTCATGAAAAGTAGAGCAGGAAGCAAGGCCATCATTACCACTATGTACCAACATCTGGCAACTAAGATCAATAAGCATGAAAACTTACCTGTAGGGTTCCTGGCAATGGAAGATCTCGGCTGCATGTTCATGGAAAATGCCCTGGGTGGTGCACACCCTGAAGAATACCAGAAATTACTTGTTATTGGAAAGAAGATCGCTGTGACATTGAGGGTGTGCAGCCCTTTAGCTGCAAAAGTTGTGAGTGGACTGCTTCGAGAAAACCTCAATGAGAAGTACTGGTACATTGTTCTGAATCGCTGTCAGCAGTTCGTCGCATCCAGTTCCAGGTTTGTTACTCCATTTATTCTGGGTTGTAAGCTTCTTCCCAAACACCTGCAACGCTGCTTTGGGGTGTTGGGTACATACCCTCGCTGGACCTTCACAAGGGAGGAATTGATAAGCTATTGGATGAACAACTGTGTCGTCGTCAGTGAAAATTGTATGAAAAATAGCATAGAGAATGTTGCGACTGATTACTTTGATGATTTGGTGAGGAAGGCATTCATACAACCATCCCACATCCCAGGGCTGTACAAAGTGGATGACATGCTAAGAGACATAGCTCTGTACATAGGTCCAATGCCTGTTCCAAAAACAAGAATACATTTAGCGAATTTGATTGGGGAAGGATTTTCCATCCACGAAGACTTTTGGTTGATGAGACTAGCAGAGTAGGGTTATAGATCAGAGCCTAGTTGAAATAAAGTTATAAGGTTTGATATTTGTTTCATTTCCCATTTGTCCTTTGTCCAGCTTGCTGTGTCAAACAATGGAGCAATGTCTGATTAGTACTAGACTGGTGCTTTCATATGCTTGCACAAAATTCAGGAAGCTCAGTACCATCTTCATGAATAAGCAGCATTCATAATTTGCAGAACATTTTTTTAAACAGTGAAGCGCAGAAATTATAAATACCTTGGAAAAATGAATCCAAGCCTCCAATCCTGTCAGCTATTTCTCAGTGTCACGGTATTTCGATAATTAATGTATGATGCGCAAATAAAATGGTTATATCATTACAAAATCACAACAAATTTAAGAGGCGCCAACCAGCATATACCTTGCATTGTTATTGAATATTTGGTTTATGCTTTACTGATTCAGTAGTTTGGCTCTATCCAGGTTCCAGCACCATCAGCTGACAAAGTGTACAAGAAAATTAAAGTATTAAACAACCATGGTGAATATTGATCATTTGTCACAAATCACAATAAAGTAACAGCAAATGAGGATCGGGCATACCATCATAATTAACAGTACTGCATCCAATAGATTGAAGGTATCAATCAAATCTACTAAGCTTTGTTTGATGAGATCGCACAAAATCAATCCAAGCATCATTGCAAATTTGCAACTACAATAAAAAAAAGAAGATCTCCATAGAATTTCTGGTGACCACACAATAGAATCTGCACTGGTCAAAACCAACTCAACAAATAGATAAGATAATATCATAAGGTTCTGCATTTCCACTGTGCAATTCGGCCATCCTTGATCACATAAACACAAGAAAAACAGTCAAATTGGTAACTTTTTTGACCTAATCCGCACCATAATCACATCTCCAGCTCAATCATACAGCCAAATCCCAAATTAAACTGCCCAGAAATATAAAGCCTCGCATCAGGATTAGGGTCAAAAGCATACATAGGCGTCCCTAAATTCCTTTCCATGCGAAAACAAATCGAGATATGGAGCATGAAACGGCGAGAAAGAAGGCACGATTTTATGCAGATAAGTCCTAGGATTTGTTTAAAACTTTATTAAGACACTACCAAACCAGGGACCTATTTGTAAATACTACAATATATCAAACCCTTCAAGGAAAATTTGACACATACCTCTCCATCTGAGCGGAGAGCTCGCACGCGGTGTGGGAGAAAAGGCGGCTGCGTGCGCCGTCTAGGGCTCTGCGGCTGCGCACAACGTGTTCGATGGAATGCCGCGGCAGGGTGAAGCACGCGCTGCGCGGCGCCGATGCGGCGTTCCGCGTGCTCGCGGGCGGCCGACGCGGGATCCACTTCGTGCCCGGGCCGACCGAAGACGAGGAGGAGGAGCACGCCACGCCCCCGTCGCGGCGCTGGTACCGCGCCGCGTACGCCAGGCTGCTCCGGCTCGCCGGGTCGCTGCGGGGCGTGGAGCGCGGGGACGGCGGGGGTCCGCGGCACGCGGAGACGGGGTCCGTCGTGGCGGACGCGCGGCGCGTCGCCGACCGGGTGGCGGAGTTCGACGCGCTGGCGGCGCGGTACCTCGCCGCGGGGCAGCGCGCGCCGCCCCTGAAGGCGACGTCGCTGAGCTCGCTGACGCGGGTGTGCGACGTGCTAGGCGTGTCGGCGCAGCTGAGGAAGAGCGTGCGCCTCGCCATCTGCCCGCAGCTGACGCAGCACCACATCTGGCGCGGCGCGCTGGAGGAGGTGCTCCGCGACCTGCGCGCCGACATGGCCGCGCTGGGCCACCCATCCCCGGCGACCCAGATGGCCGACCAGATCGCCGCCGCCTGCGTCCACTTCCTCTCCGACACCGCCGACGAGGCGACCTCGTCGTCCCCATCCTGGATGCGCCCGACCCCTTTCAACAAACCTGCAAATTCGCCGCCGCCGCCGCCGGCGAAGACATGGCAAGAGGTGCTCGACATGTTCACCGACCTAGCCAAGAGCCTGGACGCCGACGCGCGGCTCGCCGGCCACGCCGACAAGGTCGCCGCGATGAAGGAGGGGCTCTACCAGATACGCAACGTCTTCGTCGAGAGGGACATCGCCTTCAAGGAGGCTCGCCGGCAAGACTGCCTGGTGCAGAAGAAGCTCTCCAAGAGCCTAGGCCATTCGTCCAAATGCCTCTACACCTTGCTCCTCTTCTACCTCTACGGCAATGTCCGGGACGTCGAGGTGCACGCCGGCAAGCGCCTCTCTGGCAAGGGGGGGAAGAGGGTCACCGTCCACGCCGCCAAGTTCCTGATCGACGGCGATGAACCGGCGATCAGGAACGCCGTCAAGCAGCTGAGCCGCGCCATCGGCGTGTTCCGGTTCGTCTGGGAGGCGGCTCATGCTGACAATGGCGATCATGCCAATGGCAATGGCAAGGGCGGTGCCATGGCCAAGAAAGGCCATGGAGATGATGCAAAGGGTTTACTGAAGCTGCAAGGGCATATCTGGGGTTTGGGTGTTGAAGAGAAGGAAGTGACTTACAGAGGGGATGTGTTCCATGTTCATCAGATACAGCTTCCATGAATTTTCAGTTTTGCAAACATCTTTGTAAAATCATATATAACTTCTGAATATTAGTGAGAATTCTTTTTTCTATAATAGAATTCAATCCAGCCTCTACAGCAAATATGTATCCAGCCAGCCAAAGTGGGAATTCAGACCAAAATTGATCATATTGGAGACAAAATCTTTGAAAAATCATCAAGTTCTGAAGATGGATGGGAATTCGATTTTTTATGATAGAATTCAATCCAGCCTCTACAGCAAAGATGTATCCAGCCAAAGTGGTAATTCAGACCAAAATACATCATATCAAAGATGCATCTGGACAGTGGGAATTCATATCGGGACCAAAATTGATCATATGGGAAAAGACACAACAAGAACAGGTGAAATCTGGAATGCTACTTCTTTTCACTGAACTCATTTTGTGCATTTGTACAATGGCGATGCAACTGCATCCTGAGGGGAAAAAGATACATACAGAAAGGGTGAAACAGAAAAAAAGGAACCCCCTTTGGTCTTCTAACTTATGGAACATCTTTCATTCCTGTATACAAAGTGTGTTTGGGTTTTCTACAATCTTCTTGGAGAATCAAATGGTGGTGCTTTCAGTTGAGAGATTTCGAGCCATGGATCTGGAACATGGTTGCTTGGTCTTTTTGGGTAGAGTGCATTGTTGATAGGGCTGTAGTTAGCTGCTCCAGCTGAATAGGCTGGATGAGGAGGCGACGGCATGCAACTCCGATTCGACTGCCGGTACTGCCGTAATGGGCTAGAGCAAGGTGACACGGGCAGGGACATGTTCATACGCACATTGGATGGGTTGCTGCACCAAATACGCTCTGTTAGACAATGCAAGAGATGTAATTTATGCTGGTTTTGAAAGAAAAAAAAAAGGACAACATACATGGCAGAGATCCTGCGAGTTGAAATCGAAGGAATGGCAGATGTTGGTACTTGTAAGTTTCTCATCGTCAGGTCTGGATCTCGTAGAGGAGATAAGCTTCTGTTGCTTGTCTGTACCTGAAACGATATAAACATTAATGGTAAGACACAAAATTCTAACTTGAAGATACAGATACGACAGTTAATTTCTGTTCTTATTTCTTTTCCTTCATATTTGTTCATATCTTGCAACTAACTAAGGTGTAAATCACAAATAGATTTCACAAATGAAAATGAATTACAAATGGACACTGTTTGATTAGCACATAGATTGTGTGTAGTAGTACCATGGCGCCTTTTCCATCAAAGGAAGTTGGAAACGTGTCCCTTGTCATGCCAGACCTGAAGCTTCTGTTTGCAACTAGGTCCTTGACAAAAGGATGCTCCATTAGCTGAGCAGCAGTAGGGCGGGCTGCAGGGTCACGCTGCAAGCAAAGTTTCAAAAAGTTCTTTGCCTCAAAAGAAAGATGATCTGGAATATCGGGTATGTCTTTGCTGTTGCCAATTTTAAATATTGCAGCCACCTGTGAATCAGTTACAAAAAGCTTAGCATGGTTCCAATGGAAGTTGGGCACTATACCATGAAAAATTCATAACACTTGCTTACCCCTTCATACTGAATCCAAGGAGGTCTTGCGGTTGCCATCTCAATAATGGTGCAGCCAAGGCTCCAAATATCGACCGAAAGACTGTAGCCATTGGTATTCATAATAACCTGAGGAAAATTAAAATTCTATGAGAAAACAACAGAAAATGATAAGCAACCAACTTAAAATGGCAGAGTACAGAAGTTTTTTCAACTTCTGTTGCATTACCTCAGGCGCCATCCAGTAAGGGCTTCCTTTGAAGGACTTGATAGATGTGTGCGCTGATATCTGTATAAATACAATAACTAGTCAACAAAACAATATCATATAGGAAAATAATAGATCCATTAAAATCCTTGAATTATCAGATAATTAACACTATGTTGTACTTACATGCTTGGCCATCCCAAAATCAGCAAGTTTGATGTCACCATTAGGATCTACAAGTATGTTGGCCCCTTTGATATCCCTGTGAGAAAAGTGATGTTTCATAGATTAGAACTAAGAGCAACATGTGGTTCCACAAAAACAAAATACCATTATATCAAGTATCATACCTATGCACTGTATTCCGCCCATGCAAATATGCAAGGCCAGAAAGAATTTGTGCTGTGTAATTCCGAAGGACTGCCTCCCCAAATGCACCATACTCTTGAAGCAACTTATGGATAGAGCCCCCAGAAACATACTCGAGATAGACTGAAAGCGTCTCACTAGACTGTATTGAATAATGAAGCATACTCAGGCAAAAATATATAAAATAGCAAATTAAAATCAGATTTTCATACAATATATACCACAGTGTTTCCCTCTTAACAAATTCAGAACAGTGGTTTATGACTGGAAAATAATACTAACAATTAATCTAACTGTTGCCATCACCTAATTTCAGAGTTCGTAATGATTGAATGATTGTATGTCTTCGTTTAACTTATGATGCAACTACATGCTCAAGACAAGATCATAAAATCATCATGAGTTCTATATTTACCAGATCACTGCCATAGTACTGCACAATATTTGGATGTGACAACTGACTCAGAAGCACAATTTCCTGCCCATAGGAAGTAGTATTAGTACGAAAGATGTAAAGTTTAAATATCTGCTGACAGATGCTATTTGTTGACAAGATGAATATTACCTGATGTAGCTGCCTGAGACACTCTTTCGAGTTAGAATCATCAGAAATAACCTTGACCTCTTTAATTGCACACATTTGGCCACCTTCACTGCATTAAATACATTTTTGAATAGCGATTCAGTATGCATTGTAGAAAAGAAATATTCATCTCCGTAAGGATGAAAATACAGTAAATGCTTTCAAAAGCAAGTACCTGTTAAATCCTTGGTATACTTGCCCAAATGTACCACTGCCTAACAACTTGCCCTTCTTCCACTGTGAACTGACGACACGTGATGATGAGCATGGGGAGCCCGGAGGACGAGGAAGAGGGTGAGGTGAGCTTGAGCTTCGTGAATCATCCTGCCGAGCAGTGGGGGATCCTGGGCATTGCCCGAATGCTCTTGATTGCACAGGGGAGGTCGGACAGGGAATTTGGCCTTTTGAGCCAGGGGGAGAGATTGGCACTCTTGTACTGAACACAATCTCCGTTGATTTCCGACCATGGCAATACGCAGTTCGATCGTTTGAAAGATCCAAATTGTGAAGGTAAGATTCTTTCCTTGGAGAAACTGAAGTTTCAGACAACCTGGGATGCTCCAAACCCTGGTTGTTTGCGAAAAAGCGTCCTTCTTCAACCGCAAGATTTTGTCTCCGAGAATCAATAGCCAGCGTTCTGCCTGGAAGCACATAGCTTGCATCTGGCACCCTATTGAATCAGACATGAACAAGCTTCAGTTCAAATGAAAAGTTATGAATGGAGCAATCACTTGACAGCAGCAAAATTCACCATCCTAAAGCTACCATATCTCGAAACAATAATTGGGTTAGAAATAATGTACTTCGTACTATCCCACATTCGTAGCAAGTCACCAATTATTCTTAAGCAATCATCGACTCCTATATACAGGGACTGGGGACCCAAAAATGTTCTTTGATTATTTCAATCAAAACATACAATTCGAATTGCCCCCAAAAACCCACATAATCTTTGACAAATAGCCAGCACACACCAAAAAAACCACTAATTTAAAGAGCTGATCACATAAACTATCTGTCACTAAACGGAAATGGTTTTTTTATTAAAAAAATCATATCTTCTAAAATCAAAAGTGAACCAAAGAAAGCAAGCCCGGAAAAATTCCCAAATGATACAGCGAAGAGACGGATCAAGGAAGATCAACTGATATTACAAAATCAAACAATTAGCAGAAGATCCTGACGAAGACAATTAGTCAACGGGGCAGTAGAATCCATCTCGAATCGAAATAATTTTTGCCCAAAAACAAATAATTAATTGGGTTAATTAGAGCACAAGTGGTGCTACTTTCCAGGGGACGAAAGAGCCAACGCCACTAGCAAGCATACCTGGATGAAAAGGAAAAAAAACAAACCAGATAAGCATCAAGAGGTACAGCTCCAATTCCACCCAAAAAGTAGAACACCAAAAAAAAGTATGAAGCAAAGAACCTCGCAAATCAAATCTTGATCCCCTCCTCCAAACAGATGAGATTCATGAAGTCCACGAACTCAATTTCCCACCAAACCCACCGAAACAATTCGGCAGATGAACCGAAGCAAGCGCGCAAAATTATTACTAGCAACCAGAAACGAAAACTTCACGCCGAATTCAGCAATAAAATTTAAAGAGAAAAAGGAGAAGAACAACAACTTGATTTGATTTAGCGCCTCGATGAACTAATTAACCAGCCAACCACCCACCCACCCACCTACCAAATACGAACGAATTGCAAACCACCGGACCAAACCAAACCAAACCACTCCTCCTCCTCCTCACCTGTAAGTCCCGAGATCCGGCGGCTCGTCGGACGCCGCCGACGAGCCGAGCGAGGAGCTGCCGGCGCTGGACGCCGAGGCGGACCCGGCCGCGGACGAGGACGCCGCCGACGGCGCCGGCAGCGACGCCGGCCGCGGCAGCGGGTGCCCGACCACCACCACCTCCTTCTCCTCCCGACTCTGCTTCCCGGCTAGGAGCGCCTCGTCGAAGCTCCCCGCCTTCCTCCTCCCCTCCTCCTCCTCCCCCGCCGCCGCCGATCCCCCTTTCCCCTTCTTCCCCTTCCCCCTCTTCCACCACGCCGGCATCCTAGCTCTTCCCCCTCCTCCTCGCCGAGAAAATGGAAGGAGAAAATGGCGAACGAAATTGGCTACGCCCACAACGAAGAAGACGATGATGATGAGAGAGAGAGAGAAAAGGAGAGGGAAACGACTTCTTTGTAGTAGTAACGACCAAGGTCGCCGTTGCGGGGCCCACCTGTCAGTGGGGCCCCCACCCTCCCGCCCTTCTCGGGTACACGTAGCAAAAATATATACTGCGAGTGTGATACGTCACGCGGTACACTACACGTAGCTATCCCGCTGTCCGGGCTGGCAACCTTACCCGGGGTGGTGGGGGTGGTGGGGCCCATGCTCCGATGGTGGCTGACAGGTGGGGCCGGGACGTGCGCTGACGTGGGGGTATTGCACCGGCGGCGTGTCGGGTAGGGTAGTGGTTAACGGGTGGTGGGTGTAAGAGCCTATACCAATTCATTGGTAGTATCAGAATGTAGGTAAATTTTGGCACTAGCAATATTTTTTGGTAGGGTAAAGTAGGCTAGCCCATGTTTGGTTTGATACCAATATAAAGCCAAAGTTGAGTAGTAAAGTGAAGAAGTTTCTAGAATGTGACCAAATAAATTAAGTATAGACACTACTGATTGTTTGGCTTCAATCGAAACTAGCATGTTTACTATTTGAAGTTACCAAAATTTTGGTAGGGCGCGTTTTGGCTTCAATCCAAAACGGCCTTAAATTTTTGGTGATGGTGACACGTGGCTTTTCGTATTAATTAATGGGAGTGCGCTAATGGTGATTGATGGAGGTCCAGTTTCTAAATTTAACTTGATAAGTTGAGTTTTAGAGTAGAGTTATGAAGTAGGTGAGCAGTCTAAATCTAGCTCTATCTTTTTAGTTTATTTTGTGATAGCGTTTCACCTAGTTTCACTCTCATTTTATATAGAGTTAAAATTGTTTGATTGGATGGCAGCTTCAGGAGAGCTGGAGCTTGAGTGCGTATTTATTTGATAGTAGAAATTAATGTCTGTCAATTTCAGGTTTACTAGATGAGGGTTAGAGACTTTGTCAACAAGGGGGAGAAAAGAATGTACCCAAAGAGGTTGGAAAAATCGAGTGGGTAAACTGTTTTTATAATATGTTGCTTCAATGCTGGAAGTTTACTGCTGATGTATGTGATTAATTGTTTATTATGGAGTATGATATTTAATTTGCAGTGCTTGAGCTTGCATTGTTGACGAAAACAACATGGTACGACATATACATATTCACTTTATTACCATTACATCAAAAGATATGTGCATTTCTTTTTCCACATCTTTGTCATCTTTTATTCTACCACTCATTACTCTGATTCTATTAGTTTTGTACTTCCTCCGTTTTACCATATAAGTCATTCTAACATTTCCCACATTCATATTGATGCTAATGAATCCATGTAGATTTATATGTCTAGATTCATTAGTATCAATATGAACGTGATAAATGTTAGAATGACTTACATTGTGAAACGAATGGAGTACTTGATATGGATTTCTCTGAAGCTAAATATATCCTTATCACTCTATATGTGCATATTATGTCAATATTTTTTAAAAAAGTATATTGTGTCAATATATCCTTATCAGAACATATGACCATATATAGGGACATCGAACATGGTCTTATGTTGTCTCCGTAACCATCGAGCACAAGGCTACAATGGCAAACGAGTGAGCCAGTCCATTTTTCAAAGAAAAAATTAGTATTGTACAGTATTATGGTGGTACATGTTATAGACATGGATAGAAATGAGATAACGTTTCACTTTATTAGTATTAATGGAATTGAAAGCTACGCATTGGTTTTGTTTTTCATGGTAGCTCGTCCAAATTAGTTAAAAGTTATCCGACCTAGACAATGCCCCTGTTTGGAGAACTTGTCCATAGTTATTTTGAGAGCTATTTTTTAGCACAAGAGCATAGTACTCTAATAAAATAGTCCTAAGTTGTTTGGATCCAAGGGTTATTTTAAGAGTTATTTGGTGTTTAATGTACCTTCCCATGGAGAGATAGGGAGAAAAGATACTTTTTCAGTGGCCCCACCTGAAATAGCCCCGATTAGCACCTCTTGGGTGGGTTATTTCCAAATAGCCCTCAAATAGCTCACCCTTTTAGATCTTTTTTGGCTATTTGAGCAATTCGAGGGAGGGCTAAAAAATATCCCTTGGATCCAAACAGGGCCAATATACCTGAAAAAAACCAATACTTGCAATCTCCAACATAATATTGAAATGACACATTATAGTACTATAAATTTTAATATACGTACATTTTATCTAGATTAATAGTACTAGTATATATATATATCTTATCAGGGATTTAACTTTAGTCTCTGTATTTATTTAGACACTAATTTAGAGTATTAAATATATACTACTTACAAAACTAATTAATATACAAATGAAAGCTAATTTACGAGACAAAATTTTTAAGCCTAATTAATCCATAATAAGAGAATGTTTACTGTAACATTACATAGGCTAATCATGGATTAATTAGGCTCGATAAATTTGTCCCGCTAGCTTCCCGGTTGGTTCGGCAGCCGGCCAAGGTTTTTTGCGCCGCCGCCGCCGCCGCGCGTTGCATCCGCAGCACGGTTGATGATGCGTCGTGGTAGCTTCCTTCCGATCGATCGTCGTCGTCATCGGTGGTCGGCCCGGTGATTGCGACCGCGGCCGGCCCGCGTGGCTCCCACTCGTACAGTACCATGGCAGCGGCGAGGGGCGGCGCCACCACCGAGTGGAGGAGGGATGTGAACTGGCTAGTGCTCTGCCATATCATATCGTGCACTCTGCTGCTTCATCGGTTTTATTTATCACATGGGAAATAAGTAACACGCCACAATGTAAGTAATATGTGTGTGTGTGTGGGGTGGGGGGGGGGGGAGGGAGGGTAGCCTCGCCGTCGCTGTCGTCCTATAAGGTTTGATCACGAACGTTTTAGGTACCACTTCCTACGTTTCATATCTAAGAAGTCGTTTTATTTTTTAAAAAGTTAAAAGTTAGTTAAGTTTGTTTAAGTTTATAGAAAAATCTAGCAATATCTAAAAATATCATATTAGTTTCATTAAATCTAAAAATTATTTTTTTAATTAAACCTGATAAAATTTTAAAAATTTGACTAAGAAAAAAAATCAAATGACTTATAATATAAAATAGAAAAAAGAAAATAGTATACTTTTATGGTGGTCTCTTTAGGTAGTAGAAATGGTACTATTGACCTTTTTTTTTCCTCATCCAATGAGTGGTAGCTCTTTATACTATCAACTCAAATATTGTACATTTAAGGGAGTTTAGTTGTTTTTACTGTCAGTAAAATACATAAATGATTAGGATACGTTTACTGGTGATATAATATTACTAAGTAGTACTACATATATCGTACTACCAATAAATATCATCGTAGGAAATAAGCACAATCTAAAAATATATTAAAAGACCTTATTATAAGGTTGCACCCAAAAAGTTTGAAAAACATTTATATACTCCTTCCGTCCAAAAATAAACCAATCTAGATTAATTGCATAGGGCGTAACCTTCCACGATATGTCCCACCTCAATTTATTTATTTTGGAACAGAGAAGTATAACCATCTTCACACAAAAGGAATCCCTGTAGGACAAGACGTTCATGATGATGACGGCTGTAAATTTCACGGTTTTATCATGGATTTTGTGAAAGGTTGATGTACCTAACTTTTGGGGCTCTGCTTTAAATTATGCACTACTCTTTTTACAGTACAAAAAAAAAAGCACTCAAGCAGAAAAAATAGAAAAAAAAGGAAGCATCGCCTCCATCAGATATGCTCGATCATCTATGCCTTTGTGGCTTCCTCCTTATCCACATATATCCACATGCACGGAAATTAATAAAAGTTAATTAAAAAAACACATATTTATCATCATAGTACGTGACAAGTTGTGAAGAAACACGTATATGGCACGTTGAACCACACAAAATTAACCAAACAACGGGGGAGAAAAACTAAAGTGCACACTGCCGTCACCACCTATAAAGCTTGAAAAAAAATGAACAAACTTTATCGATCTTGTGATCGTGGGAAACGTTCGGCCAAACCAATCGCTCGATCACCTTCCCAGTTATTTTAGTTTCATTCATGGACATTCTGGTAGGTTCCAACACAACACTATAAAAGTTATATGCTAAATGAATTAGCTAGGATACTCTAAATAAATATTTGTCGACATGTTATATGCCACAATAACCACTAGTCGATCTAAATGTGGAGTAAATTCTCCCTTCATTTTAAAATATAAAGTATATTTTATTTTGTTATATGATTTATCAACAATTACTATATAATAATATTTTTTTAAATAAAATTGATATTATTATATTCAATTTTGAAACTATTTTTATATGATTATATTTTTTGTCAAATAAATAAAATATTAGGATCAAAGGTTTATTCTAACAAAATTAAATAGGTCATGTATTTTAAAATATGAGTTCTAAATTAAATATAATACACATGAGTGGTGAAGACGACCAAAGTAAAATAGGTCGTCGGCATATATGTGATAACAATGGACCTAGAAAAATTCTAAAGAGTAGACGAATCCCGTCATGATTGTGACTAGTATAATCGGCATACCGTATAACGAGTAGTGCGTCCACTTCTTACCCCATGCACACGGATGAGTCCAAACAGCTGTTCAAATAGCTAGACCGTATAATACTAGTTTAGTTTACCATGATACACGGGTATGTATATAAGAATGTTATACTATAAAAACACAAATTTGAGAAACAAACTCATGAAATCTTCACCCTCTCCAAGTACATATATATATATATATCCATCCGAAAGCTACTGCAAAACCTGGGTTGAGGGATACCGGAGATCCGAACAAAACGGGAGGCTGATGGAGCTTAGCAGGCTTGATGGAGCTAGCTAACTTTTTGCCTTCTTTTTGGTGTCCATTTGCCACTCTGCTTAGCTAGCTAGCTGTCCTGGCTTGCTGCCACTCACTCGCCGCCAAAGCGATCGGTTTGCCATTTTGCCTATTTTGCCTGCCTTTG